AAGGGCCATATTTAAATTGTGACCATTTACTAGTATCTTTTGGCTTCCTGATTCTTGTTAAAGAGCATTTCTTTCTCTAGATGGAAACTGAGCCTTCCTAGTGTTCTTTCATACAAATATTGATTGCTAAGAGCAAGCAGCATAATCCAGTTCATACTCATTTGGTAGAACCTTTAACTTTTGAACAGATCTCATTGTGGTTAAATGCACATAATGGGGCTGGGGGAGGATACACATCTGTAATCCCAGCACTCAAGAAGCTGAAGCAGGAGGATCACTGGGAATTCAAGGCCAACCTAGACAAAGCAAACAAACAAAACACAGCAACACAGCAATATATGTGTGTGTGTGTGTGTGTGTGTGTGTGTGTGTGTATACATACATACATATATGTATGTATACACACACACAGTTTCATGCTGGGAATGTAGCTCAGAGGTAAAGTACTTGTCCACTGGCCCCCACCATTGAAGGGGAAAACAAGTTTAGCATTTTAATCATTGGAAAGTTTTAACATTTTAACAGTCTTCACCAATACTGTACAGTTCATTAGCATTGAGCACATTCACAGTGCTATGCAACTGTCACCACATCCTCTCCAGAACTTTCTCATTATCTCAAACTCTATCCATTTGCCTTCCCCTCAGTTCTTGGCATCCAGCATGATCCTTTCTGTCTATGATTTTTTACTACACTGAGTGGCTTTTATGAGTGAATCATACAGTATTTATCCTTTGTTGTCAGAATTACATTGCCTGGCTTAATGTCTTCAAGGTATCATTTAGCATGTACCAGAATTTCCTTCCTTTTTATGATTGAATAATACTCTTTGATATGGAATAGATTACATTGTATTTACCTGTTCTGTGGAAGCATATTTAGGTTATTTCTATCTCTTCGATAGTGTAAATAATGCTGTCTGAACATGTGTGTATATGTATATATAATTTAAGTCCCTGCTTTCAATTTTTTTATATATACTCAAATAGATTGCATCATATGGTAATACTGTTTTTAATATTTTGAGGAATTCACAGATTATTTTTTACAGCAGTTTCACCATTTTCTACCCTCATCAGCAGTGTACAAAGACTTTAGTTTGTCTGTGTCCTCACTAATACTTTTTTTTGGGGGATTGCTTTATTTTACTTTGTTTAGTTGATGATAGTCACTATTGTAAAGCATGAATAATTCTAAATGATGATAAAACAGCCCACATTCTTTTCTTTGCTGTGTAGCTTCTCCTAACAGGCTTAGGTATGAAAAAGTTGTTTTGTTCACCACCTAGCCCTACAGAAAAGGATTAATATGTGTATCCTTTCTGGGTCTGAAAGGAAGAAGAAAAGATTAAGTTAATTAAATTCCTATAACACATGTTCACCTTCTCCACAAGTGTGGTGGCTTTGTGTTCTCTATTCTCAATGAAGGAATCTCTCTATCCTCTACTACCTGGAAATCAGATCTAAGAGATATTCTTTTTTTAAAAATATTTTTATTTTATTTATTTATAGAAATATATTTTTAAAAAAAATTTTTTTTTAAAGTTTATGTGTGTGTGTGTGTGTGTGTGGCCAGCTCAGCCCACCAGGGGGCAGGCTGGCTGGCATGTGGTGCTGGGGGATTGAACCGCGGTCCCTGTGCTCTGCTAAGCTTATTCTAAGTAGGTGCTTTAGACCACTGAGCCATCTCACCAGCC